CAAAACTGATTCCACATCTCCACTGTGACTGTTCATTCGCTGCCCACTAGATTATAAATTCCTGAAAATCAGAAGCTGTCTTATTTACCTCTGAATCCCTAGCACTGGATATTTAGTGGTCAATAAACAAAAGTCTGGAAAAATAAGTAACATTCCATAGTGCCAAATGAATGGTGTTAAAAGAAAGATGTTTTGATAAAGAATAATTTGTCCTGGCAGTTCATGAAGATATAATTTCAAAAGTAAGTTTGCTCAATGAGTTACTTTTAGTATCTAAATGCTAGAGTCAGTTTGTTGGTGGCATCTCTGATAAAATTAAAGTTACATGAAATTCAGTTCATTCTTCTTCATCCATTCTCCAGACTTTTATTTATTCAACTAAGATTTACTGAATGCCAGGAGCTGTGAGAAAGAGGTTCTAGGGATGGCATTAAGTAAATATTAGTGGAGATGTTGTCATCAACATACATATTACACAAAAATAAGTTGTTTAATATTTTTCCCACTGATGTCTCATCTAATTTTTTGATAGTTCACTTTTACCATCACCATAATAGAAGGATTAATAAATACTATGCATGGTAATTTTTTTTTTCCTTTATTGATTTTAGAGAGAGAAAGAGAGAGACAGAAACATCGATGAGAGAGAACATCAATTGGCCGCCTCCTGCAAGCCCCACACTGGAGATTGGCCCTACAACCTGGGCATGTGTCCTGACTGGGAATCAAACTGGCGACCTCTTGGTGCATGGGTCGACACTCAACCGCTGAGCCACACCAGCCGGCCTATACATTGTAATTTTATACTAAAATAATTCATCATAGTTACAAAATGTCTGGAACAACTATTATCCATTGGGCATAAAAATTTCAACTATGTCTTGCTTTAAAAAAAAACTTCTTCTGAAATACATTATAGAATGATATTTTTCAAGTTCACAACAATTTAACACTGAACATTTTAATTAAACAAAAGCAAACTGACATTGAATAAATTTATTTTGAGAAAAAAGTTAAAAATAAATAAGCATATTAAAATTCAGTTGCTGGATCTGTAAGGGTAAATGTTGATAATACTGTGTAAAAATTAAATAAAAATTATAAACCACATGTATTCTTTTGTAGTGGTATTCTGTATTTCTTAAATTGAATTATTGGGGTGACAATGGTTAATAAAATTATATAGGTTTCAGGTATACAATTCTGCAATACATTATCTGTATACTATATTGTGTTTACCACCCCAAGTCAAGTCTCATTTCATCACCATTTATCTCCCCTTTACCCTCTTCTATCTCCCCCATTCCCCTTTCCCTCTGGCACTCACCATACTGTTGTTGCTATCCATGAGTCTTTCTTTTTTTTTTTCTTTGCTTAATCCCTTCACCACTTAATCTTACCTAGCCCTCAACCTCCTTCCCTCTGACAGCTGTCAGTTTGTCCTATGTATCCATAAGTCTGTCTCCACTTTGTTAATTTATTTTGTCCATTAGATTCCACATGGAAGTGAAATCATATAGTACTTGTCTTTCTCTGACTGGCTTATTTCACTTAGCGTAATACTCTTCAGGTCCATCCATGTTGCTGCAAAAGGTAAGATGTACTTCATTTTTATGGCTGAGTAGTATTCCATTATGTAAATGTACCACATCATTTTTAATGCTCATCTACTAATGGGCACTTGGGCTACTTACAAATCTTGGCTATTGTAAACAACACTGCAGTGAACCCAGAGGTACATATATTCTTTCAAATTACTGTTTCGAGTTTCAGAGAAGTGGAAGTGCTGGGTCATAAGGCAGTTCCATTTTAAATTGTTTGAGGTAACTCCATACTGCTTTCCAGTGGCTACACCAATCTGCATTCCTACCAACAATGTAGTAACATTTGGTAAATGAAAGATTAAAATCTTCAAAAGTAACCCTGGCCGGTTTGGCTCAGCAGTTAGAGCGTCGGCCTGTGGACCAGAGAGTCTGCGGTTCGGTTCCCGCCAAGGGCAGGTACCTCGGTTGCAGTTTGTCCCCGGTCCTGGTTGGGGTCATGTGGGTGGCAACTCTCGATGTGTCTCTCACATCGATATTTCTCTCTCTCTCTTCCTCACTCTCTCCCTCCCGCTCTATCTGATAAAGGAAGGAAGGAAGAAGGGAGGGAGGGAGGGAGGGAGGGAGGGAGAATCTTCAAAAGTAAAAAGACTTGGAACAACACCATGCTCTACAATTCCCAAAATATTTTCAGAGGATGAAGAAAAAGACAAAGTTGGCTCAATTCTTAGTCATTCTTTTTAAAAAATTTTTATTGAATTTATTGGGGTGACATCGGTTAATAAATGTACATAGCTTTCAGATATACAATTCTATAATACATAATCTATATATTATGTTTACCACCCCAATTCAATTCTCTTTCCATCATCATTTATCTCCCTTTCCCCTTTTCTAACTCCCCTCACCCCGCCCCCTTTCCCTCTGTCAATCACCATACTGTTTTTCTGTGTCTATGAGGTTTTTTTCCCTTTGCTTAATCCCTTATTATCATTTAGTTATCTAACTCATGGAAAAAGAAAATGACTCAGCCACTAAACATTGTTTTTTAGCATTGTAAAGACAGAGAATGCATTTTCTTGGGAATATTTTTTAATAATAAAAGCACTAATAAATTAAAAGCTGTATCTTTCAGTGATGATATAATATTATGTAAAATCTATACTCTTGCAGAATATCAAGAAAGTGCTTATTTCTCAGTTTTAGCCTGGCATAAATTTCATGATCCAACTTGATAGGAATTATTTCCACTTATGTCAGATACATGTGAGAAGACCACTTAACGAAAGATTTTTGTATTGTAGAAATTTTAACCTCTCATACAACTAGTTTAAACACATTTATAGAATTATAAGTGATGGAGCAGCAAATATGACTGGAAAAAAGCAGAATTATTCTGAAAAATAAGACTGCTAAAACAGAGAGTTGGTTAGCATCACTTTTTTATATAATAATGCTTTAGCACAGAAATTCCACCAACTCCCATGGGTAAAATGTAATAAAAACTGTTGCTGTAATAAAAGAACACCCAGTGAACACCTGACTTTCTAAAATATTTTGTTCAGGTATTGGAACTAACCCTACCCACAGAAAATACAACATTAAAGTGCATTTACTGTTTGTTAAGAAAGAAAACACTAAGCAGGTATGACAGTATGAAATGCAGGAATAGATATCTTTTTTTAAATCCTCACCTGAGGATATGTTTTTATTGATTTGAGAGAGAGAGAGAGAAATATCGATGTGAGAGAGAAACATTGACTAGTTACCTCCCATACATGCCTCAACCAGTAATCAAACCTGAAACCTAGGTAGGTGCCCTGATCAGGAATTGAACCTGTGACCTTTTTGGTGTACTAAACAATGATCCAACCAACTGAGCCACCTGGCCAGACAAAATATCCTTTTTTTATTCAAGTGAATAAAAATCTCATCTGGCAAATGCTATTGAAACTGGGGGACAAAATAGACATACAGTATTTGATTCTTTCAATACTTTTAAAGAAATAAATGTGAAACTATAGGAAACAAATAATGGTATATTTTAATATGTCAGACATACCCAAGGATACCAAAAGACATTAATGTTATAGTAAATAAAACGTTAAAGTAAACACCCTAGTTACTATATGTTCCTTAGTTTACTGAAGAGAACATGATTAATTAAAACAGTTACAAACTAAATGAGGTATGCTGTAACTTCTTATTTCTCTGAACAAAATATTTCATGATTAATCTCTGAAAACTGAAACAATAAAGCAAAATATTTAGATAGAAGATTCATTTTTTAAACCTTGAATCCATGATTATATTAAATTTGATTCCCAAACAGATTAAATTTTTTTAGATTAGGACCAGAAAGAAATTTCTATTGCTAAATAGGAAGAACATATTACCAGACAATAACATATTAGTATGAATAAGAATTTGTACCTTGATTTAATTAAAAACATAGGAAAGCAACAGGCATAACAGTGTGCTGCATTGTTCTTATATGCAGTGAACTGGAATGGATTTATGAATAGATAAGAATATCCATCATAGTTCTGGCTGGTGTAGCTCAGTGGTTAGAGCGTCAGCCTAGGTACTGAAGGGTCGCAGGCATGATTCTTAATCAAGGTCTCATACCTGGATTGCAAGTTTGACCCCAGGCCCACTTGGGGCGTGAGCAAAAGGCGGCTGATTGATGTGACTCTCCACATCTCTCTCTCTCTCTCTCTCTCTCTCTCTCTCTCTCTTTCTCTACTCCTCCCTTCCATTCTCTCTAAAAATCAATGGAAAAAATATCCTCAAGTGAGGACTAACAAAAAAAGAATATTCATCCTAAAAATGTCCAATATTGTAAATCTTTCCAAAACAAAATATTTCTAAACATTCTATTTCATTGCTCATTTTGGAGATGTTTAAATCATATTTGCCATTGACTTTGTTATGTTTTTATTTTATTAAGACTAAGTAAAACTAAGCACTACTTCTTGGAATGTTAGTTTCAGTTGTAGGAATGTATGTGTTTGTGTGTCTGTATGTGTAGGTGCACTGCGATATAAAATGTATTTATTGCTGTGAGATAGTGTTGATAGTATCTGGATAAGCACTACATTTATATATGTACAACAGGAGGCACATATAAGAATGTTCATAGCAGTATTGTTCATAATCACAAAACAACTGGAAATGGCATAAATGTCCAACAGGTGAATAGAAAAAAAAAGTGATGTATGTTCATGCAATGGAATAGTAGTTACTCAACAATGAAAATCAATGAACCTCAACTACACATATCAACAGGATAAATCATAGAAATATTCAAAAATGTATTAACTTTATACAGATTGAAAGCAAGCAAAAGTGAAGAACACATTGTTTAGGAATATATATTTATGGTAAAACTATATAGGCTAAAACTTTTTTTAACATTTGAAAAAAAAAAAAAAAAACTATATTCAGGAGAATGATTACCTCTGTAGGGGATTTGGGAGAATGAGATCCAGAAGGAGCACACAGGGAGTCGCAAAGCTATTGATTTTAGAGAGAGAGAAAGGGAGAGAGAGAGAGAGATAGAAACACTGATGAGAGAGAACATCGATTGGCCGCCTCTTGCATGTCCCCCTGGGTATTGGGCCCACAACCTGGGCATGTGCCCTGACCAGGAATTGAACTAGAGACCTCTTGATGCATGGGTCCATTGCTCAACCACTTAGCCACACCAGCCAGATGATAACATTATATTTCTTAAATTGAGTGATGGGTTCAGGAGGGTTAGTTTCATTAATATAGTTCATAACATTATACATATTCTTTTGTTTATATCAAATACTTTCTAAGGGAGATGTTGGAAAATATATAGCAAATTATTGGTATTGGTTATCTCATGAGTAAGAAACTGTGGGGAATTTTTGCTTTCCATATATTTATAAATCATTTTGATCTTCCACAAGAAACATGTAATATACTTCCATATGGAACCAAAAAGAGATACATTTTTATAATTTTGCAAATATAATTTATAAAAATAAGAAACAGAATGAGAGTTTACTGCATTTACACTCTCCAGAGACAAAGCTGTTGATAGTTTGGTTATACTCAAAATACTAGTATTCTTCAAATATATAACAAAACTTTCATATACATGTTCAGTACAAATACATTAAAAATAGATGTTATAAAATTATATAACTCATAGTTAAGTGGAATAAAAGTGACCTGATAGTCCAGGTTTTTGTTTTTGTTTTTTAGGAAAATTACACTTTTAAGTATTTAAAGACTATAGTAGTTCATATTTTTATGCCCACAGAGACAGCAAGAAAACATGTGCAGGTGAGCATACTAAATTTTTTTTTAAATTTCATTTGTGTAAATGTTTGATTATTTTCAGTAGAGATAAAAGAATTAAAATATAGTTTCTATTTTCAAATAATAATTCATAGAAAGTAGCAAACAGAAAATAACTTCAATACAATGCAGTAAGTACTAATGTGTTACAGGAGTACAGGGGAGGTTTGTATGAGGAAGGGAAGGGGTGGGGGAAAGCTCTCAGGCAACTTTTTAAGAAATCCCAAATTTTCAAAGACAAACAAATTAGCCTTCTGGGAAGAGCAAGAACTTCCAGGCAGAGGAGAACTATATAAGCACTGAAGTCAGGGCACAATTGAGAAACTGCAAATAGAGCACCTGAGGCTACCCAGAAAACTCTAGCCTGAATAAAAAAGAGGCTCAAGAAGAACCTAGATAGGGATTTTCAAGTTATCTAAAAGATTATTCTGTTGCTATTGAATCACTGATCCTACCCAGACAAGGTTAATGATTCCCTCTTCTAACCTAGCTCTGCATCTTACATAGATTCCTTTAGCATATAGCTCACTCACAATTCTATGATTATATCATTATAATTAGTACTACTTTGTTCCTAATCTATCCTATTCAGAAATCGCCTTTTCCTCAGCTGCTTCTAGTATTTGATGCCTACTACATCTTCAGTTTTACAAGCTGCTTCTTTGCTCATTATAAGCTCCATGAGGTCAGGACTGGGTCTGTTTTATAGACTACTCTAAGGACAGGACCTAGTATAAGACCAAACATGTCTTGAAGTAACAGTCACTATAAATGACCCTGAAAATGGAAACCAACATAAAGAAAATAGAGCTTGGGTTCCTGATGCCTGTAAAGTTGTTATACCAACCTGGACTATCTACATCCAGACTTCTTTTACTTGAAAGAAAAATAAAATTCTATCTTGTTTATAGCACTGTGATTTTGAACTTCCTAGTATATGCAAGCTCAATCCTAATTGACACAATATGTAAATGGGTGATTAACATTTCCTGATAATGAAACACTGCAACATATAAAAGTCCAAAAATTAAATGATCTATCTCTTATGAAGTTGAACATCTATCTTCTCATATGAGTTGTCTGTTCATGTTTTTGGTTTTGGTACTGCAAACTATCATGTCCTAAATTGTGTTCAGTAATTTAGCACTTAATTTTAAAAGCTGTCTGGAGGTATTCTCTTCCAAATGCAAATGGTGTACTACAATTCAATTCTGGCACTAACAACCTGGAGTTAGCACAGACCCCACAAGCATAACACCTTCACATCAGACGCCACCCACAGTTCTGACTGACTGCCTACAAATATGGGAGTTTCCATTACCCCCTCAGGTTCCATAATTCACTAGAATGTCTCACATAATTCAGGAAAGTACTATGCTTACAGTTTTTCTATAAAGTACACAACTCAGGAACAACCAAATGAAGAGACAAATAAGGTGAAGTCTGATAAAGTCCTGAACACAGAGCTTCCATGCCCTTCTGGAATCAGAGCAAGACACATTCCTTCAGCGCTTCAGTATCCAGAGTTTTTATTGGGATTTCATTACAATGATTGACTGAACTCAATCTCCAAGCCCACTTCCCAGAAGTCCAGCTGGCTCCAAAATGCAACCCTCTAATCACATGATTTGGTCTTCCAGGGTGACCAGCCCCATCCTGAAGCTATCTAGGGGTCCACCATGAGTTACGTGATTAGCATAATGATAGTCACAGCACCTGTGATCCAAACAGCTCACGAATAACAAGGATACTTCTGTCACTTGGGAAACTCCAAGGGTTTTAGTTCCTCTGTAGAAGGAACCCAGGACAAAAAACAGTAACTTCTTTATTACACAACAGGGGATGATTCTATCTGTTCTTCATTAGCTGACACTTCTTTCCCCTCACTAACTCTTTCCCATTTCAATTCCTGAAGAACATTAATGAAGGAAATAGCATCAAGACTACTACAGCCATGTAACAGAAATGATGTGATAAAAGTATTAAGGGAAGATATTATCACTCAAACCCTCTATAGCTATTAAAACCCTCTAATCCCTTCTGTTCATTTCAAACTTTTTATTTCTATCTTCTTCTGCCATGATACTGAAACATGGTACTTGCTTAACTATCATTTGATTTAGCTATTTCTTTAAAAACAAAACATTTTAAAAAATATGTTTTTGTTGATTTTCTACAGAGACAGGAAGGGAGAGGGAGAGATAGAAACATCGATGTGAGAGAGATCTATCAACTGGCTGCCTCATGCACGTCCCCCACTGGGGATGGAGCCCACAACCTGGGCATATGCCCTGACCGGGAATCAAACCAGTACCTCTCAGTCCATGAGACAATGCTCAATCCACAGAGCCACTCCGGCCAGGCCGGGCTGACAAGTATTTCAATACTTACGCAAAACAAATTCTAGCCTTTGTTTCCTCTGAGGAACTGATCCAGGTTTTGTGGGCCAGAATTTTTTTAAATTTGGGGAACTCTCTTTCAGGAAAAGAATATAAAATTCGATATGAAGTAAATATTTATTTAGAATGCAAAAATAAATAACAATTACAAACTAAAAAGCTGACAAATGCCACAAACATCATAAATTCCAGAAAAAGTGGCATATTTTTATCGAGTGCCTGACCAATCTCTATAATACTCTTATGTTATATTTCTGGCTGCACACTTTTCATATAACAATTTTATAATATTAAGAGAACAGAAAGATAATTTCTTCTTTCTGCTAATGTGTTTGATCCATTTTTATTATTAATAGTTTTTTAAAGTTTATATCCGTTTGCACATTCTTAGGAATATTGTCAAATTTAGAAAAACCCTTATCAAGTTTCTTTAATATATGAGCTGCATCTATGTATCACAAAACCACTGACACAGTAGACAGTAGCTTATTCTTGGACATCATACCTACATCAGAATGGCTAGTAATCACTGTGGTAGGTATTTAGACAGGCATAAGCAGAGCAAGGAAGATGGGCCAGGTACAGAAGGTCACCAGGATGGAAAGCCCTGGAGCCTAGCAACAGGCAAAACTGGGACCTTGCCGCCATCTGACCTTTCCTCCCTCAGCATGTCACTGCTCATGCAGTTTAGACCCCCTAACCTTTCATACCACTGGTCATGAAGTTTAGATCTTCCCATGACCTTTCCTTCCCTGGCATACTGCTAGTCATGCAAGTTAGCCCCTCTTAAAGGGGAAACAAATAAGGAGACTGAAGAAGAGCCCTTAACCATTAAGCCCCCAGGACAATGAGGTTCTGACCCGAATCAAATACATCTAGGCCTCAGTTGTGTTCCAGTTCCTGGCCCAGAAAAGCAGAAAAACAAGATAAGCGATGCTACAGTTGACTTCAGGACCAGCTGCAATGACTAATGACCCCCTGCCATGGCACAGACCTATTAGTGGAGACCACAACCCTGAAAAGACACACCTGGAAAGGTAATGGATAGGCCATTGAGATTCTCCCCAGGGATCTCCAGGAAAATCCTCACCCTTAAAAGCCTGTAGGATGAAGGACCCAGTGCAACTCTCTCTAGGAAGCACACCAGTGCCTTTCCCCACCCCATTCCCACAGGCACATCTTCCTTGTCTCTTTTCTAAGTTCTAAGGGCCCTTCTTTTACCCCTGCAACTTGTTTCGTGAACTCATTTCTTCTACGACTCACTTCATCTACCTCTGTGACTTTCTAAAATAAACTTTCTCTTACAGTTTGAGTCTTGGCTCTGAATTCTTTCTTGGCCAGAACTCAAGTACTGAGGTTGCTGAATGGAGGGTCCAGTCTGACTCCACTGGTCAAATACCTGGTGCCATTTCCACCGCCAACAATAACTATACAAAGAAACATCTACAAACCACCTACTCCATCTAAATGTATCCCTTAATAAACTTCTGCTTAACCTGAGTCCAAAAATGCCTCCAGTCACTCTAATACCACCCCAATATGAGGGTTTGATAGAAAATCAAAATGAAAAGGGACAACCGTTTTAGTTGGTTAAAATACCTACCTATTGCAAATTTTACCAAAAAAAAAAAATTATAACTATGTAAACACATTGCTTGGGATCCTCCCAGCATCTTGGAAGGGTCTTTGTAAGTGAGGAACCGTGAAACTTAAGTTAACTAACTACAAAGTAAATCCATCTCTATTTCCTACTCTAATTTGAAGAAATTGTCAAAATAACCAGATTTATTTCCTCAATGACACTTCACTACTTTAACATATAACACTTGTTTTCTAGAACATGATCATCTCTAGCTTCTACCCCAATTACATTAGTTACATTGACACTAGAATTGGGTAATCCAGGATTGGGTAATTTAGCAGTTCAGCAAGATCATTAGGATCCATTCTTGCCATCTTTTTACTCTGCCATACAGTATTTCATTTTACATTCTGCTATCCCTCATATGGTTACCAAACAGCACCCATAAAAATGGATAACATCCAGAAATAGTAAACAAAAACAAAACAAAGCAAACAAACAAACAAACAAACAAACAAAAAAACCTTTCCTAGAAGCCCTTCATCAAATCTCCCTGCATGTCTCATTGGCCAGATACAAGTCACATGGCCATGTCATAACAAATTACTAATACAAAAAACTGTACAACCATGATTGGCCTAAACTGATCAGGATTTATTCAAGCTACATGGTAGAGGGGTAATCACATTCTCTCTCTCACATTCTCTCTCTCTCTCTCTCTCTCTCTCTCTCTCTCTCTCTCTCACACACACACACACACACACACACACGAAGGACCTGCCATAAGGATAACGGCAGTAATGAATGACTGCTGGATAAGCTTTTTATTAAGTAAATTGGATAGCTAATCTTGACATTAATTAATTTAATTTAATTAGTTTTGACATATATTTTATTATAAAACAGATAGATGATGTCTTTAGATCCATTACAGTTCTTATGTTCTATAAGACAGGCATACAGCATATTGTTTACAGCCTGGGGTTTCAAGTCAAGCTGACCTGGGTTTAAATATATATCCTGCCGCTTATTTGCTATAAAATCTTAGATAAGATGCCCTCTCTTCTGAGAATCCAGATAATAGTAATATTTAACTTATACTACGAGAATTAAATAGATAACACAAAATGTTTCATAGGAAGTACTCAGTAAAATTTAACACTCAATAAATCTTAATATTATTAGTCTATTATATATATTATTATGGCTTTTGCACCACTAATTTAGAATTTGTGATAACTAAAACATTGCTATTTTGAAACCAGAAAAATTATTGATTTCACCTCCCATATTTTATAAATAATGAGCTGAGAATTTGGAAGATTTAATGACTTACCAAACAGTTACCTCTCCTAATTCTTCTTTCTCTTTAATAGGCATTTCTTCCACTTACAACTTAAATATCTCCAACATTTCCTTAGATTTATTCCTTCAAACATCACAAAACCAAATTCATTACTTCCCCCAAATAATGTTGCTTCTCCTTTCAAAGTTAAATAACATCACCATTTATATATACAGATTCCAAAGACAAAATTTCAAAAACCTCCTATATTTTGGATGCCCTCTCTCCTTATTGACCAGTCACTAAATTTTGTCAATTCAACCTCTGAACTATAATGTGAATGTCCTGTATTCTAAAGTCACTACTACCTTATTATAAGAGATCCTCATTATCTTATGGATATTTATTATGAAGAGTTTTCCAACTAAAATACCCACCTCCAATCTCAACTTCTTTTCACTTTATTCTGTATTCTATCAATATCTTTGTAAAATGCAGACTAAGTATGTTTTCCTGCTTAAAAATGTTCCACGGATCCCAAATAGCTCTCATATAAAAACCCAACAACTTTAACTAGTATATAAGATCTCTGACAATTTGGCTCCAAACTATACATGTGGCTTCTCCTCTTACCTCTCCTTCTATGACATACATAGAGTATTAACCACCACAATAATACCTCACCATTCTCCAAATACACGTTGCTCATTCATGCTTCTCTGTGTTCATGAAAATCTCTTTTTGGGGGGCACAGGGGTTAACTCCTCATTTGTTTATGTTCATTCCTCTGCTCCCAACTAACTTTTCTCATCCTTCAAAGCCCAGCTTAAATAGCAGCTCTTTGAGACAGCTTCTTACATCCTTCACAGGTAGAGGAATTTATTGCTTTTGTAGGATTTTATAGATAATTATATCATAGCAGTTATCACACTATGTAACAGTTATTGCCTGTCTATAATCCTGGAGAGCGTGAATTTTTCAGGGCAGGGTTATATCTTACAAATCTCTACATTTCTGGTATATATACAATAAACATTTAATAATAAGATTAACTGGATGAACAGTGGCAGAATAAGAACTCAGGTCATTAGACTCCAAGTTCTAAGCTTTCTTCCTTTACATTTTACTATACTTATTTTTAAAATTTTTTTATTTATTAATTTTTGTTACAGATGTTTCTCATTTTTCCCCCAATGACACTCTCCTCCCCTACCGCCCCGCCCCCGCCCCATCCCCAGCTTTGTTGTCCATGTTCATTGGTCATTAGAAATACATATTAAATAAGAAATTTGGCCCAGCCAGCATAGCTCAGTGGATTGAGCGTCGTCCCATGGACTGAGAGGTCCTGGTTCGATTACTAGTCAGGGCACATGCCTGGGTACGGGCTCCATCCCCACTGGGGGATGTGCAGGAGGCAGCTGACTAATGTCTCTCTCTCACATCGATATTTCTCTCTCTCTCTCCCCCTTCCTCTCTCTCTCTAAAAAATCAATAAAAACATTTTAACAAAAAGAAATTTAATATTCAAATCTGTCTTCACCATTAAACTGTAAACTCTATGAGTGAAGGGAAATTAATGTCTGACACTTTGAGTCCAATGCCTGAAGTAGGGCTTTACACAGAGTAGAAGTTTTTTTTGTTTTGTTTTATCCTCACTCGAGAACATTTTTCCATTTTTTTTGTTCAGATAGAGTGGGAGGGAGAGAGAGGAAGAGAGAGACAGAGAGAGACAGAGAGAGACAGAGAGAGAGACAGAGAGAGAGAGAGAGAAACATCAACGTGAAAGGGACACATCGAGTGGCTGCCACCTGCACGACCCAACCAGGGCCGGGGACAAACTGCAACCGAGGTACATGCCCTTAGTGGGAACTGAACCCAGGTCTCTCTGGACCGCAGGCCAATGCTCTAACTGCTGAACCAAACCAGCCAGGGCCAGAGTAGAAGTTTAATAAATATTAGTTAAATGAATAAATGCCTAAATTAATTCGTAACTAAAACTTCAGCATACTTGAAAAATGGGGCAATCAGTTAATTTGTCTAATGACAGGTTAATCTCTGGAAGCCCTTTCATTCAGTTCTCTGGCTGAATTACTACATCCAGCAATCTTATTTACACTATGTATCTGATGGTAAGAGTCTACGGCACCAGGGATCTCATTTTGAAAGGAGGTTATAATCTCTGTAGCAATCAATATGTATTGCTTCAACTTAGCTCATTCTGCTCATTCATTCCCTACCTAAAACCTGTAGTAATTTAACTTAACTCCTATGCCAGGCCTTTAATAAATGATGAACAAATAAAATTGTGTGTGTGTGTCTGTGTGCATATGCATGTGTGTGCATGCACATACAATAAGATATTGAAAGAGCTCAAATTCTTTTGAAAGTATTAAGAATATAAATGATATATAAAGACACACATAGACACAGAAACACAAATACCCACTAGCAAATGAAAATAAAACTAAGTATTTTGCTATAATCAATTTACTTCTAATAATAGTAAGAACGTGTATTTCCCTCTAGTATGCGAAAAACAAAAGAATTTAAAATATTAGGTAGAGCCTTCCCCCCTCTTCCCTGCAAATACTGTTAAGTTAATAAATAATAAAATATGTTTTAATGCAGTCATAATTTTCGTAACTATATTACAAAGGACCCTACTAGTTATAGAGCCACCAACAATTGAGGAGAATTTCACACAAGAGTGATAGCAAGAGGCAGAAAATGTCTGTGATCATAAGCCAGTTAGAAAATAAAACACAACCCAAAATATCATCTATTAAATATATGACTTCAAAATTTACCTTCCTTTCTAATGTTTATCATCCCTTTCTCTTCCAAAGTTCTGCTACCCATCCATCATCACTTCAAATGGCTTGCAGGAAAAGGAACAAACAAAGCACACACTCCTAGGAGAATCGATTATACTGCTCATGCAAGTCCACAGGTTCATAAAGTCTTCAGGTTTATTGACTAGTTGATGCACATACCCAGGTTGTAGGCCCGATCCCTAGTGGGGGGCATAAAAGTGAAATATATGTGCTAAACCAACTGCCTTTTAAAATAAAATTCTTATCATTAAAACAAGTTATTTTTAACAAGTATACCCAGACACATAATAATAGAATCTTAAATGTCATCTAACCCCATTAACAATACGTATCTCCTTGATTCATTTCCCAACATTCCTACCAAGTAATCTGACATATCCTTTAGCACTAAAGGAAAGTCATACCTCCAAAACAAGCTCATTCTATTTTTGTATTCCTTTACTACTAGAAAGTTTTCCTTTATTGAGCTAAAATTATTCAGTGTGTGTCATCCACCTATTGGTCTTCTATCTTTGATATTTTACAAATCAATCAATCAATCAATCTAATTTCATTTCCATATGAAGGAAGCTCTTCAAAAGAAGAGGCCTATTGTATATCCCAATTCTCTTTCTTCAAGTTAAAACTATCCCAATTTTTAGTCTATCTTCAGAATGACATGGTTTAAAATTCCTTCAATAACTTAAAAAAAGGAGGAATGGCCCAGCCAGTGTGGCTCAGTGGTTGAGCATCTAGAGATTGCCCAAGAGATTGCGGATTCAATTCCCAATCAGGGCACATGCCCAGGTTGTAGGCCCGATCCCTAGTAGGGGGCATGCAGGAGGCGGCCAATCAATGATCTCTCTCATGGATAGTTCTATCTCTCTTTCCTTCTTCCTTCTTCTCTCTCTAAAAAACAAACAAAAAAAAAATTTAAAGGAGAAATGTTTTAGCATCCATGCTGCCAACCATGAGTTTTAATGTGAGAAATAATGCATATCCACCAAAAGAGCAATATGGAACTATTATCCTCTTAATTTTTGAAACCTAAGAATATAATAACTTGTTCTTCTATTAGTAGACTACCTTAATTGTTCAGGGAAGCTTGTAACCAATGTTTTATTGTTGATGAGGGAGAAAAAGAAAGTAAAGAAGATAGTAAAAAAAAGTCTCTAAAATACAACAGGCTACTACCTCTTTGCACTCTATTTTTTTTAAACTGAGGCTACACTACTCATGTATCAATTCTCTTTTCCTGCTAGAAAGTTCATACTTTATAGCAAGGTTAACCTAGACATTTTATGTGGGTTTTTTTGTTGTTGTTATTGTTGTTTTAAACCACCATTTTTTTTTTTTTTTAATCCTCATCCGAGGACATTTTTCCATTTTTTGTACAGACAGAGTAGGAGGCAGAGAGAGGAAGAGAGAGAGAGGGAAACATCGATGTGAAAGGGACACATCGAGTGGCTGCCACCCGCACGACCAACAAGGGCCGGGGACAAACTGCAACCGAGGTACATGCCCTTAGCGGGAACCGAACCCGGGTCTCTACGGACCGCAGGCGGACGCTCTAACCGCTGAGCCAAACCAGCCAGGGCTACCACCATTTTCTAATAGCTGAAAAATCAGGTCAATATTCTCAATGTACTCATATACTTAACATAGTTAAAATATCAAACTAAAAGACAGTTTAAGGAGCTGGAATGAGTATTAGGTTAGAGAATATCTAAAAAGTGAAACACTAGTAAAATAAGTCAAAGTAGTCAGAAATGAGTGCTGCAAGTATAAGCTAAGCCAAAAACTGGCTGAGTGTACTTGACTAAAACCCTTAACCTCTCTAGGCCTTAGAATACCCTCCCTCATCTGTTAAATGAAGATAAAGAATTAGGATCAGAAGTTCTCAAATGCTTTCATCTCAGGACCTCTTTACACTTTAAAAAAGTACTGAGTACTTCAAAGAGCTTTTATATCTGTCCCTGGTTATCATATTAGAAATTAAAACATAAAATTTTAAAATGTTTATTATTTTAAATGATGAAACTATTAAATACCAACATAAACATTTTTATGAAAATAATTGTTATTCCAAACTAAAAAAATTAGTGATAAGAGTCTCCATTGTTTTATAATTTTTGCAAATCTCTTTAATGCCTGGTTTAATAAAAGACAGCTAGATTATCACATGCTTATGCAAACAGTATCACATGTCATATAACCTGTGGAAACTATTTACATTCAGGAGAGAATGAAAATAAGGACAAACAATGTCTAAGTATCATTTTGAAATAGCTCTGCCCTCCCAGACCCCCTGAAAAAATCTTATAAATCCACCCCTCAGACCTCCACCAAAGAAACCCTGACCTACACTTTGAAAACTGTTGGACTAAACCATCTCTAATTCTCAAGATCCACATAAAACCACACAGATGACAAGATTTTTAATTTTTTTAAACTGAAAATATACTTATCTTCACCAAGAAGAATGCTTCACTATTATGACTCTAAGAGATATCAGTGAAATGGTCCTTTTTAAACCAACTATAAAAAGCCATGTCAAAAAAGAGGTATAAGACAAAAACAAAAACAATATAGACTACTCTTTGTTACTATGACAATTCCTACAAGGAGAACAGCCTATCTAAATAATTTCCTTTATATTATAACACTACTAATAATACTCGACATGACAAAATTACTCTTTCATTTAACAAATATATATCTACTATATGTAAAGTACTGTCAAATGCAATGAAGGAAATTAAGCGGGAAGAACTTCCTAGTCTCGCAAGAGAGACCTGAAATATACTCCAAAACTATAATATAAAGTTTTTAAAAAGACGATGCTATGAAACAAGTTAAAATAAAGCAGTATGGTCATCATAATCTTAAGAGTACCATGAGGATAATGTTAATATAATTATGATTAAAATATTCATTTACAAAGTTTAGGAACATAAAATCTATTCTCTATATACTAGCCTATAGAGATGTTTCATTCACTGAATTCAAAGTAATACATGTACCTTTCCAGGGGAAAAATTCAAATGTAAAAAATAAAAGCAAGTTTAATCTCTAATTTCTTACACAGCAATAATATCATTATTGGCATAATCAACAGTGACTCTGGCAAATAATTTTAACAGTACCTACACACCTTTATGCTTCAATCTCATATTCAGGCACAACTACAAGCACAGTGATAGTAAGATCAGAAAAGCAAGTACATTAAAATCTTAGAAACATTGATTGAACCTTTCATACTTCACTTAAAAGTATATGTATGTCACTAGCTAACCATTTTATATAATGGATGGTCATTCAACTGCAGTATCTAAATTAATGGTGTATCACATAAGATGCTTTCTTCCTAATACAAAAATTAATTTAGAAGAGTCATCTTATTCCTTTGTAAATATAATGAATTTAAGCCTAATTTTCTCTCATTTGGGAAATATTCAAGAACACATAAAATAATCAAACTTAATCTGTAAATGACTCTGTAAATTAGATAGTAATGTTAGTACTGTTTATTTGAAAATCTAAAAAAAATTGAAACATAAATTTTGGTAATACACACCTTTTATGAATAATTACATTTTTCATGCATATCAAGTTAAGATAGTTAATAAGATTTGTATTATGTAAAGCTTAAAAAGAATATCTATATAATATTTTTAGGCTAAATAGAAGGTTCTCTGCCATTTTAATTCTAGCGATCTTTTTTAAGGTAAATACTTTTTCTGTTTTCCTTTATTGATTTTAGAGAAAGAGGAAAGGAGACAAAGAGATAGTAACACTGATGAGAGAGAACATCGACTGGCCGCCTCCAGCACGTCCTCCACTGGGGATCTGGCCCATAAACTGGGTATGTGCCCTAACCGGTAATCAAACCTGCAATCTCTTCTTGCTGCATGAGTCAATGCTCAACCACTGAACCACACAGGCCAGGCTAATATAAATACCTTTATTAAGATAAACATAAAGTACTGAATATAAATTTACATTTGAATACTTCTTTCCAATGAGCTTCTCCACCTGCAAAATATGAGATCTTCTATATACTTTTTAAAAATTCTCCATTCATTTATCCTCATTTTCCCAGACAAAAGGTGAAATAGCACCATCTGGTGGATATCACTTTAGTTTTAAATATAATATTCATTTACCTTATTAGTGCTTCTTTGAAGAAAAACTGCATAATAAGGAATTATTATAAAGTACTATGAATGAATAATGAAAACTAGCTTGATTAGTAACCAAATGTATACATGAAAACTGAACCAAAGTTGCAGAAATTGTTTTGTTTTTTAATTATTGAGATGTTATTTTTGTAATGCCATTAAGGATGAAATCTCAGTACTTAACTTTGTCGTCTTAGCTTTAAAAAAGTGTGACTTTTTAATACAAAAATAATTTTTTTTCTATAGTAGTCAATGAAGAGAATGAGATATGAACATAAACTTCAGAAAAGATAGTGTTGTCTGTTATTTAGGTTTACTTAGAATTGATTTTGTTTTAAATAGGTATGTCTTAATAATCAACAATGAGCCCTGGCTGGTTTGGCTTAGCAGTTGGAGCGTCAGCCCGAGGACCAATGAGTCTCAGGTTCGATTCCAGTTAAGGGCACGTAACTCAGTTGTGGTTTCTCCCAGGCCCAGTGGATGTGTCTCTCTTACACTGATGTTTTTCTCCCTCTCCCTCTCTCTCCGTCCCTCCCTCTCACGCTATCTGAAGATAAATATAAAAATATCCTCAGGTGAGGATTTAAAAAATAAATAAATAATCGATGATTAGCAAGGCTGATCTCAAGGTTTATTAACAGTAAAAGTTTTCTGAATCCTAACAGTGTGCTTGACAATGATAAAAAAAAAGATAAAAAGTGGTATGCCTGTATAGGGTACTTACCATGAATGGAGCTGGCAGGACTGGAAGTTGCTCTGGGTGAGTCAGTGGTGAATGGTGAGTGAATGTGAAGACCTAGGACATAACTGTACACTACTGTAGACTTTATAAACACTGTACACTTAGGCTATACTAAATTTATTTAAAATATTTTCTTTCTTCATTAAGTTATCCTTAACTCACTGTAACTTTTTATTTTACAAACTTAATTTTTTTTTAAAGCTTTTCAACTCTTGCAAAACACTTAGCTTAAAACACATATATAGCCCTGACCGGTTGCTCAATGGTTAGAGCTTCA